TGTTGTCACTCTCATGCTCCCTGTCGTGCACATGTGTGGACATTTCAGAACGCAGTGACCTATGATGATGTGCATGTTGACTTCACTTGGGAAGAGTGGACATTGCTGGATCCTTCCCAGAGGAATCTCTACAAAGATGTGATGCTGGACACCTACAGGAACCTCACTGCCATAGGTAAGACTGGATCTTCCTTCAGGTTTTGAAATAAGGAGATAACTGTTAATTGTTTTTTTATGTTCTTCTGTAATTTGATTGGGAAAGAAGAATGAGGTGAATAAATCAGGCATGGTTCGAGGGTTCACTGAAGATAGTAAATTAAAGTTTGTACTATTTTGAATAATATACCATACATTTTCTGGTACTATATTTTAGGATACAGTTGGGAAGACCATAATATTGAGGAACATTGTCAAAGTTCTCAAAGACATGGAAGGTAATTATCATGTGCAAGATGATACGAACGTGCCTCTGAAGGGATTCTAATGTGTCCTGGAAGTTGTAAACAGAAGCAACAGTGTAAATAAACATAAATTCTCACAAAACCATGTACCTCGATTTCAGGTAGGTGAATTGCACTTGCAAGGCATTCTATTAAGAGAGAAGACAAGGAAATAGTTCCTTAACAGATAGCACCGTTTGAGTCATCGAACTGCCAATCTATTTAATTTTATACCATTCATATTACAAAATGTATACATGTTAAAGAGGTGATAAGTATATCCCCAAAATTTTCTAATAAGCATACAGCCCATAGTAAAATTAGTGTTACTCATATACTTATTGTTTCTGTGCTAGGTTTACTGAGAGCTGCAGTTAGGGCCAAGAGTCAAGGTGCAGTTGTTACCGAGAAATTTTAATACATATAAAACATGTCTAATAGGAATAGAAAGCCAAATTATGTGAATTCAATATGGAAGCCTATTATTCATTATTCTTCCTTTACTAAGTATATCATATGTCACTCTCGTTATAAGTCGTGAGCATAGGGATATGGACAGACATAGCATATTGCTCTCTGAGAACAAATAGAAGATATGTAGCAGTCCCCACATGGAATATACTTCTTGAATTTGATTCAAGTATACAAGTATTTGGTTTCCCAGCTTCAATACATCAACAAACACACACTGCAGAAAAGCCCTATGAGCACTAGGGCTGAGCATAAACTTCTGTTTGTCCTAGGTGACTTAACAATAGAGTATGAGTCAAAAGTATAGGGTAATTTATAAATGCAGTAAGAGTGGTGACGCTCTCAGTTTTACCAGCTCTCTTGAAATAGGTGCAAAATCTCATAGAAAAATATTCTGGGGCTGGAGAGATGGCTCAGAGGTTAAGAGCACTGACTGCTCTTCCAAAAGTCCTGAGTTTAATTCCCAGCAACCATTTGGTGGCTCGCTGCCATCTGTAATGAGATCTGGTGCCCTCTTCTGGCCAGCAAGCATACAGACAGACAGAACACTGTATACATAAATAAATATTTTAAAAAAGAATATTCTGTATATGTGAATCATGTAATATTCCATGAATATACCATTATAGGTATCTTCAAAGACGTAAAACAGCCCATTATAAAGGGGAACAAAATGACTGTAAACACAGTGATGATTTCTCTTTAAGATTGGACCACAATGTAAAATTTTTTTTAAATATTTATTTATTTATTATGTATACAATATTCTGTCTGCATGTATGCCTGCAGGCCAGAAGAGGGCACCAGATCTCATTACAGATGGTTGTGAGCCACCATGCGGTTGCTGGGAATTGAACTCAGGACCTTTGGAAGAGCAGGCAATGCTCTTAACCACTGAGCCATCTCTCCAGCCCCACAATGTAAAATTGATTCATACAGATTTATTGATTCAACAGTGTATTGAATGTGGTAAAGGTTTTACCTGTGCCAATTATCCCTGCAGGCATGAAAGAAGTCAAATGGGAGAGAAACCTTCTATATATACTCAATATGTTAGAGCCTTTGCATATGACAGTCATCTTCAAAGGCATGAAAGAACACGTGCTGGAGAAAAACCCTATAAATCTAGCCAATGTGGTAAAGCCTTTGTATGTGATAGATATCCTCAAATGCATAAAAGAACAAATGCTGGAGAAAAGCCCTATGAATGTAATGAGTGTGGTAAAACCTTCGCACAAAGCTATCTTCTCCAAAAACATAAAAGAAGAACACATCATAAAAGAAGAACTGACGAGAAACTCTATGAATGTCATCATTGTGGTAAAGCCTTTAAATCTCCTAATTATCTTCTAATACATAAAAGAACGCATACTGGTGAGAGACCCTATGAATGCAGTCAATGTGGTAAAACCTTTATATGTCATAATTTTCTTCAACGACATACAAGAATACATACTGGAGAGAAACCCTATGAATGTGATCATTGTGGTAAAGCCTTTGCACAGCAAAGGAATCTTCAATGCCATAAAAGAACACACACTGGAGAGAAACCCTATGAATGTAATCAATGTGGTAAAGCCTTTTCAAATCGTAGAAATCTTCAAATACATAAAAGAACACATACTGGAGAGAAACCCTATGAGTGCAAACAATGTGGTAAAGCGTTTGCACGTCATGGTAATCTTCATGCACATAAAAGAACACACACTGGAGAGAAACCCTATGAATGCAATCAATGTGGTAAAGCCTTTTCTCACTCAAGTCATCTTCAAACACATAAAAGAACTCATACTGGAGAGAAACCCTATGAATGCAATCACTGTGGTAAAGCCTTTGCGCAACAAATTACTCTTCAAACACATGAAAGAATACATACTGGCGAGAAACCCTATGAATGCAAACAATGTGGTAAAGCCTTTTCAGACCACAGTCATCTACGAACACATAAAAGAACACATACTACAGAGAAACAGAAAGTACCCTCCAAATGTAATCAATGTGGTAAAGTCTTTTCATATTATGGCTTTCTTAAAAAGCATGAAAGTAAACATGCTGTAGAGAAACTATGAATGTTATCAATATGGTAAAGTCTTTGCTTATCAATGCTCCTAACATGCATAAAAGAACACATACTGGAGTGAAACCCTATAACTAATCAATGTGGTAAAGCTTTTTGTACAACATAATCATCCCTAAACAAATAAATCAACACACTGGAGAGAAATCCTATGATTGTTTCAACACCTGTGTTACAGGAATGAATGCTTAAAAGAGAAAAACTTTAATCAGTGAAAAATTGTTGTTTACAGAGTTATTTTAATTATGTGATGTCAGTGTGTGTTTGTGTGGGTATATGAATATGCATACTAGTTCCCAAGAATGTTAAAACCCTGGGTCCTCTTGTAGCAAGAATTATAGGAAGATGTCAGGAGTCGGACCTTGGTCCTGGGAATGAACTTTTCCTAACTACCCCATCATGTCTCCAGACCTATAAATTCTTTAAATGCTACTGTGTGATTCAAAGTCCTAAGGACATAAAAGAGATTTAAGGATACGTTTGAACTCATGATCCTAATATGTCCAGCTCCAGAGTAAAGTCCAAGGGTAGGTGATGTGCTCCAAATGTCAACACAATAGAAGAGATTATAATAAACATTAAATAATTCATGTGTGTATCAAAACTGTATTTTCATTTATCTGGTAGAGATAGATATAATAAAGTAGAATAATCAGCAGTCAGCTGTGTTCTCATGCCATAGTTTGTTCTATATAAAGTTGGTTGTTCCACGCTTCTCCATGTCCCCATTGTTTAACAGTTTTCAATTTTTTCTTGAAATGCTGTCCTACAGGGTTTATCCAGAGATGCCAGGTAATGTAATGACACTAAGATTTATTTTGTCACATTTATGTTGTATGTAATGTGACTATGGATTTGTAGGCCATGACAAATATGTAGAGATCAGAAGGCAGCTTTGTGTTGTCTACTTTTGGTACTCTTTATATGGTTATTAAGGTCAGGACTGGAGCCTTGCAGACTACAGATCTTGTGCCTTCAGGTACAAGGGTAGGTGGAGGTGGAGACTGCTCATTCATTTCCCGGCCACTCAGCAACCAATAATAACACCGAAACTGTATTAATTACAATACTGTTTGGCCAATGGCTTAGGCATATTTTTCTCTGTTACATCTTATATTAACCCATTTCATTAGGTCATACTACAAAAACCTGTACTTCACAAAATTGGACAACATAAAGAAATGGACAATTTTCTATTTAAATATTATAAACCAAAATTAAATCAAGACGAAGTAAATTTTAAATGTACCTATAAAATGCTAGGAAATAGAAGTTGTCATCAAAAGTCTCCCAACCAAAAAAAGAAAAGAAACCAGGACCAGATGGTTTCAGTGCAGAATTCTAGCAAAACTTCAAAGAAGAGCTAATACCTATACTCCTTGATGTATTTCACATAAGAGAAACAAAAGGAACATTGCCAAACTATTTATGAGGCTAACAGTCACCCTGATACTGAAGCCACACAGACTCAATCAAGAAAGAATTACAGACCTATCTCACTCATGAACATAAATGCGAAAATACTAGCAAACCGAATCAAAGAACACATCAAAAATACTCATCTACCATAATCAAGTCAACTTCATACCAGAGATGCAGGGATGGTTCATCATATGAAAATCTATCAATGTAATCCAATATATAAATAAACTGGAAAGAAAAACCATATGATCACCTCATTAGATGGTGAAAAGACATTTGAGAAAATCCAACACCCCTTTATGGTAAAAGTCTTGGAGAGATCAGGAATACAAGGATCATATCTAAACATAATAAAAGCAATATACAACAAGCTTACAACCAACATTAAATTAAATGAGGAGAAACTCAAAGTGATTCCATTAAAATCAGGAACAAGACAATGCTGTCCATTCTCTCCATATCTATTCAAGACAATTCTTGAAGTTCTGGCTAGAGTAACAATACAACAAAAGGAGATCATGAGGATTCAAATTAGAAAGAAGTCAAACTTTTTTATTTGCAGATGATATGGTAGTATATATAAGTGAAGCCAAAAACCCTACCAGGGAACTCCTACCATTGATAAATACTTTCAGTAATGTGGCAGGATACAAGATCAACTCAAAAAAAACCATTAGTCCTCTATAGAAATAATAAAGAAGCTGAGAATGAAATATCACCTTTTTCAATAGCCACAAGTAAGATAAAATATGTTGGGGGTATCAATAACCAAAGTAGTAAAAGACCTATGTGACAAGAACTTTAAGTTTTTGAAGAAAGAAATTGAAAAAAAATTACAGAAAATGGAAAGATCTCCCATGTTCTTGGATAGGTAGGATTAACAATTAAAAAATGGAAATCCTTCCAAAAACCATCTATAGAATCAATGCAATCCCCATCGAAATACCAACACTCCTTCACAGAACTTGAGGAAACAGTAGTCAACCCATATGAACAAAAGAAAAAACCCAGGATAGCCTAAACAATCCTGTACAGTAAAGGAACTTTCAGAGTCATCACCATCCCTGACATCAAGCTCTATTACAGAGTGACATTAATGAAAACAGCTTGCTGTTTGCATAAAAAAAAAAAAAACAGGCTGACCAATGGAATTGAAGACTCAGATATTAAATCCATACACCTATGAACACCTGATTTTTGACAGAAAAAAAATTTAAGCTTAACTTATACAGTGGAAGAAAAAAAGTATCTTCAACAAATGGTGTTAGCATAACTGGATGTCAACATGTAGAAGAATGAAAATAGATCCATATCTGTCACCATGCACAAAACTCAAGTCCAAATGGAGTAAAGACCTCAATATAAATCTGACCATACTGAAGCTGATAGAATAGAAAATGGGAAGTAGCCTTCAATGCATGGGGAAAGGAGAACACTTCCTAAATATAACCCCAGTAGCCCAGACACTGAGAGCAACAAGTAAATTGGACCTCCTGAATCTGAGAAGCTTCTGTAAAGCAAAGGACACAGTCAATAAGACAAAAAGGCACCCTGCTGAATTGTAAAAGGACACAGTCAATAAGACAAAAAGGCACCCCGCTGAATTGTAAAAGATCTTCACCAACCCCATATCAGAAAAGGACTGATCTCCCAGATATATAAAAAATTCAGGAAATTAGACATCAAAGTTCCAATTAACCCAAGTGTGACCCTTGGAATTTATATAGACTCATAAGCATTTTGTCCTAATAACCATTATAGGAGCAGTTAGACTGCAGTTTGCATTTACAGATCACAGATAATGTTGACAGTTTTTTGGGGGGGGGGGGGGGGGTTTTTTTTTTTCGAGACAGGGTTTCTCTGTGGTTTTGGAGCCTATCCTGGAACTAGCTCTTGTAGACCAGGCTGGTCTCGAACTCACAGAGATCTGCCTGCCTCTGCCTCCCGAGTGCTGGGATTAAAGGCGTGTGCCACCACCGCCCGGCATGTTGACAGTTTTTAATAAACTTCTCTATGAAAGTCTGATCAGCTAAGACCTTTAGCCTTGTCATTTCATGGGAGGTCAATCATTTAAAACCCTATAACTTAGAAGTTTGCAAGATGGTAATTATTAACTTCTATTTAAGACCTGAGTCCTACTATCACCTTTAGAGAAAATTGTCCCATTATTAGCATAACTACTCTACAGTGCTGAATGACCAGCAACCAGAATTAACATGTAAAATATCTAGCATTTTTATAGTTTCCCTTTAAACTCAGCACTGCTCATAGACAAATTCATTTTTGTACTTTATTTCAGTCTCTCATTTACCCCTTGTGTAATGATCTGCTCTGTTCCTCTAAGAGACAAGCCACACCCACTCCCATTTCCCCATCTTCACTGAGGTCAGGTGACTTCACTGCCATCTTGGCTGAGACCAGCTCAGATGACCAAGTTCCGCCATCGTTACTGAGGTATACCTCGCCTGGTCCTCCAGTTTGCTTATGTTTTTGTCTCTAAATTCCTCTAGCTGAGTCTGTTGCATGTATGGTTTGAGCGGTGGCATGCCTTTGCTAGGGCCCACCAAGAGCATCCACTTCACCCAATAACTGTACACTCTGTGTGTGTGTGTTCATACATGTAACTTAAATGCACCTATATTTACTCTTAAATGTTATAATTGTCTGTTCATTTTATCTCATTCCAGACTACAAAGCAATAAGTCTCATGTTTTAAATTGGTATGTACTTTTAAGTCTCTTACAAAAAATACCATATATGTAATCCAACCCTGATTTAAAATATATTAAGCTATTCTCTACTACTGTCATTACTGCTGTTAACCTTCTATTGCAAGCAGTTTTTCTTCTTTCTGTCTTTTTACGAGTGTAAATATCACCTGTTGAGAGCCAGGACAGTCAAGCTCAAACCCAGCTCTCCAGGCAGATTCTATAAGTCTATATTATACCTGATAAACAGCCCTCAACTGCTCAGAGATCTGGGGAATATGGCATTTAAATATTTAATTATTAAAAGACTTTTTCATAACAAAAAGAGACAGTTGGCTCCTAGCAGGACTCTACTTCCTCCAAAGAAGACAGAAGACAAATGGGCACAGAACAGTGTCCATCAGCAATTCACTTCTACTGCCAAGCACAGACCATTGGGCAAAACTGCTTTTCATCTAAACTGAAGATCTCTAGATAGGGACAGAATTGCAGGAATTGACAGCCTAGCAGCTCAGGTCAATGTAGGCTTGTCTTCCTACAGATTTCTTAGCCCACAGGATCTTCTGGAGCCTGGCAGGCCTGCACTAAACAGCAAAAGGCAAATATGACCTTCAGCAGGTTTCTTTATCTTAATCACTACTAATTTAGACCCAATTTCCTAAAAGGATAACAAGTGTTTGTAACCCAGTGGAAACAAATGGCTAAATCCACATATTTTCTTCTCCTTGGTTAACAAAAACATAATTTCTCCAATATAATGCATTTTTAACTTTAAAAATCAGTGCTTCCAAAAGTATACACATTGGTACAAATCAACATTTTTAAAACCAGCATCAGGACAGAAAAGATTTAAGTTGGAAAATTGCTGGCTAGCAGAAGAGACCTTGAGTTTTCACAGTGAAAAAGAACTTTGCTTAGGAAAGAAATGGGAGCAGCACTGGTGGGCACAAACTTGCCTGCCTGGATTCCTGAAGAAAGAAATTGTTAACTTCTCTGGTCCCAATCTTTGATTCTCTATTTCACAACTGTGCAGCTTTTGCATCTGCAAGCAATTCTCTGCCCATCTGAGCATGCGCACACCCTGCCTTCTGCTGGAGCTGCTGGCTGGCTGTGGGCCAGAGAACAAGAGAGGGAGGTGGCCGTTGCTATGCTTCTCCTTTGAGGAGTTTTCCTCTCAGGACCTAACAACCTGGGATTGATCCAATAAAAATGCACAGGAGGCTAGAGGCAGAGGCTACCAGGCTTATCTCCAGGACTACAAAGAAGGTCAGTAGACAAAAATGCAGAATAGAGACAGACAAACGGTACTGGTAGTGCATAAACTTTTCAAGGACACATAAAACAGAACAGCAACACAGTAAGTCTAAACTCAGACCAAGACAAAGAGCGCTCATTCATTCCCATGCCTTTTTAAATCTAGACTCACGCTCCCTTCCACAGGGAGCCTGGGGCACACATCCTTTACACATTTCAAAAACTAAAGCAATTGCTGTTGTCCTTCCTCAGTGCCCCTAACCTTTGAAATCTCTATAAGGAATGTTCAAACTCTAGAAATTGAGGCAGTTGTTGATGCTTTACCTTAGCATCTCTGGCTTTTAAAGTATTGCTAAGTAAACGTAGTACAAAGAACTGTTTACCAGTTCCTTGGTCTGTAGCTACTTTTTATACTTGTGCTCAAGTTACTTCTTATTTACACTTATACTCGAGTTATTTCTTAAACTTAATTTTTCATGCTGCGCAGCCATCCTCTCTATTCTTGTCTGTACACCCGTACATTTGCTTACGCTCATATTTAAATCACAGGGCTCCTGGTAAAGCTCACTGCAGACCTCCCTTTTACTAAGTGCACTATTTTACCCTGTGGTGTCCTTGCATTCTTCCCCCGCACCCAGCTCCATGCTTGGTGACACTCCATCAGAGTTCACTCTGGCCGAAATCAGCTGGGCGTTCCCTTGGAGAGTTTGCTGAGGCTGAGAAAATGTTAGATTAAGAGAAATGAAGACAGAAACATAGGATAGACCAGGAGGACTGAAGAATAATACCAAACAGCCCTGAGTTCATTTCTCAGGCAGCACATATACTACAGGCAAAAGGCAGAACAAAGAGCAGTACAGCCAGCTGACCACCCCCCTGCACTGTCCTTTCCTTGGGAGGAAGTTCAAGCAGGTGCATTATCTTTTTTTTTTTTTTCTTTTCTCGAGACAGGGTTTCTCTGTGGCTTTGGAGCCTGTCCTGGAACTAGCTCTGTAGACCAGGCTGGCCTCGAACTCACAGAGATCCGCCTGCCTCTGCCTCACAAGTGCTGGGATTAAAGGCGTGCGCCACCATCGCCCAGCCAGGTGCATTATCTTATTCAGCTGAGTAGCTTCTAATCGCTAATGAGGAGTGCCTCTAATTGGCATCTACCAGCCCAAATCTTAATAGAAAAAAATGTGTTCAACTGGGCAGAAAGGAAAGAGGAGTGTCGGGGGGGAAACAGCAGTCAGGATGTAAAATAATGAAAAAAATTAAGCAACTAATGAAAATTTACATAAAAAAGAAAACCAAAAGAATATTTTTCTAAAATTGTTAGATATTTTCCAGGCATTGCATTTAAGCTTTTGGAAGACCTCACTTTTTCTTATATTACTAGGATCTAAACCAAAAAAGGAAGTCATTGAAACACAACTATTGTATTATTTCTTGTACTAACAGCAATTTTAGTACAATAATAGTAATTATATGTTACATCATACACAGAATGAATATACTGGATTCTTAGGCTTACTATTAACCACACGTGAGTACCAACTATATAAGCCTCTGCACAGTAGGATTTATTGTTGTGTCCAAAGTAAAATTAGAAGTGTTTCTCATAGTTCCTCTCTGAAAGGTATTAAGTGTCACTATTCACAAGGAAGTAAGATATTTTCTGTATTGAAAACTAGACAAGGAAAGAGTGAATTCACACTATAAGTTTGTTTCCATGCTATAACTTATTAGCTCATGAAAGTTTTGGTGGGGCTGATTGAAGCTCCATGGTAGATAATGTGTGGTATTAGCTTTCATTTAACCCAAAGTGGCAGTAATGGCAAAGTAGCTTTTTCTGCTCCAATTGCAGAGAAAAGCTACTGAATCAGAACCCTTACTGTAATGACGTTTAGACATGTAAAAATAGGTTAGTCTGGAACCCACTACACCCAAGGCTGCACCTGATAACATGAACCTAGTGACATCACTCACTCAAGACGAGCAGACACCATCCCACCCACTGGACGGTCTATAAGCAAAGACTAAGAGAGATGCTGTGCTATACACGCCTGAAGAGATAGCATCTTGATCTGTCCTGTGTTTAGAGCAGCTCTCGCAGGATGCTAACCCTCAAGTCAGATTCTTCTGATAGAGACTGGACGTAACTTTCTGCTAAAATATGTTACCTTGGGGAGACAGCCTCAGGACCCTAGTTAGGAAAGCAGAGTGAGTGTGAGCCTTGTGCGATGAACATCAGCATAATAGAATAGAATTTGTTTATTAACTATGGATATCCCTTCTTGCTGGTGATGAGGGCTGTAGGAGGATACTAGCTGAAGAAGGGCCAGGCAGGCAAGCACCATTCTTCCATGGTTCCTGTACTTCCTTGGCCCTGAGTTCTATCAGCACAGGGAGTGTAGCCTGGAAGTGTAAGGTGAAATACATAATTTCTTCCCCTAAATTTTCTTTTGTTCATGGTATTTGCCCCGGCATCTGAATAAAAGCAGTCATGCTGAGCCACAGAAGCCCAAACAAACTAAAGATGAAGGAGTCTACAAATAGTTTTGCTACACCATCGGAAGCCATGTTGGATTATAGAAGCCTTAAGAAATTGATGAGCTCCAGGGCAGTGGTGGCGCACGCCTTTAATCCCAGCACTTGGGAGGCAGGGGCAGAGTGCAAAGCTAGCCACACTAGTCAGCCATAGAGGCCAAGCAGTGGTGGCACACACCTTTGATCTTAGCAGCCACATTAGTTAGCCGTAGAGTCTGGGTGGTGATGGTGCATGACTCTAATCCCAGCCCTTGGCAGGCAGAGTCAGACAGATCTCTATGAGTTCAAGCCTTCTCTAGAGTACATGAGGTTGATCCAGTCTGAAAGAGGAACAGAGTTCACACCTCTGACCCCAGCACTTGTGATCACATGACTTTAATCCCAGCACGAGGGAGGTGGAGACAGGAGTGCAGTGCAGTCTTCCTGCCTGAGACAGTCAGTCTGGCCGTCAGTCATTTTGTTTTCTTATCTGATTCTTGTGTGTCTCTCCTTGATCTCTGAAATGCCCCTGTGTCAGGTAAAAAGAATCACCTGACCTCACAGTGAAGCCACAGAACAAACATCTCCTTTTGTGTCCTTAAATTTCTCTTTAAAATTGCTAATATTCTGCGCATCCTTCCACCTGTGGGACAGGGAATCCCTCCACTCCACCTTGAGGAAAGGGCTGTGAAAGCTGTTCACACCGCGTGCAGGAGGAAGAAGAGGACAGGCCTGTGGAGTGCCGGAAGATAGCAGGATTAGCTGTTGGAGCCAAGGGCAACAGTTATTGAAATGAAAATCTCTGCCTGTCTGGAAAAGTCTGGCTCTGGGGTGGAAGGTTGGCTGAGGAATCGACTTGCTCTGTGTCTTTAATTCTAAGGGCGGGGCTCTTGTCACTCAAGCATCACCAACCAATCAGTGCCTCTAGGCCGAACTGCCAGTCAGAAGTCTTGCAGGGCTCTTCCCTGGCCGCCACCGTTCCTTTTGGGTTGCAGAGAAGCTGGGGCCAGTGTTTTATTTCGCCTTTTGTGCTGCGAGTGCCGCTGCAGGGAGCTGTGAGAGGGCCGCGGGCGAGCCGGGAAGCCACGACATGGTGAGCGAGGGGCTGCTTTCCCAGATCGGGAAGATCAGATGCGGAGATCCAGGATCCAGCGTGGCGGGTCCTCAGGGCCGGGTGGGAATCTGCAGTCATATTCCGTGTCCTGTGAGCTCCCATGCTGTCCCTGCTGCTCCCTGGACCCAGGCACAGTCCTGTGTATAACTTTGCTCTGTGGGCTGCAGCCGTGCAGAGCGATGGGCGCAGGGAGCTGTGTGTTTGGAGTCAACAACAACGCGCTTTTGGTGCAGCCATGGAAGGCAGGTTGAATAACTTGGAGAGGCCTGGTTTCCCCAGTATCTTCTAGATATTCAGTACTTTGCATCTGACCTGTACCTGTAAGGTTCGTTTACAGTTTATTTTGGGGAGGTTGTAAAAGGCATCTCGTGTGTTGGGTGCACAGCTAGCTGTGATGTAGACGAGTAGATTCGTGACATAAAGAATTTACCCATGATTAGAGCTAGTAAGCCTCATAAAGCAGGAAATAACTGAGGAAGGCTGCATCTAAAACACCCCAAAGATAAGTTTATGCTAACCAGGCCTGCTAGAGATGAGCATTCTAGGGTACACAGTTGTTTTAACAGGATTGTCCAGACATTTGGCTCCAAACCTTTACAAAGGAGACACCCCTGGCTGTCAATCAGCCTCTAGGCCCAGTCCCATAGGAACAGGCTTCTAACAAGCTGCTCAAGGAGGCACTACAGGGTCAAAACCTACCTTATGGCCTCACGTGCCTTAAAGTTCCAGTTTCTAGTTGAGAAAGGCATAGCTCCGAGAGAGGGGCAGTATGACACCAGGTGACAATTTGAAAAAAAGTAAAACACTGTTGTGTTGTGAGGAGTGATTTCTCCCTGGGAGGACACAGTATTTCTAGAGCAGCTGCATTTGCAGCCTTTTAGAAACTGTTTCTGGGACTGCTCTCTGCTGGTGACCCAGGTGACCCTGATTTCAGACTGTTGCACTCCAGGGCGATGGCTTTGTTGTCCTCCATAGTACATCTCCAAAATTCTTAAATTAAATGATTGCACCACCTCAGAATTTTAAAATTATCCATTTGAGTCAGGGAGTCGGGGTCGACTGTCCATTGCAGTAACAGGAGAAGGATTTCCACATGGAGCCTTCGGACCAGAATAGGAGGAATAGTTTGTGTACACTGCAAGGGGAAACAGGGCAGGCGGTCAGCTGCTGGGGTTCAGTATGAAAAAGGCCTTGAACACTTAGGAGGAGTTAATTTGTAATTTCCTAGCAAGTGTTAACGCAAGTCACGTGAATAAATACATTTCAGATTGGTGGGTGTACAATTTGAGAAAGTTGCCTTGGGAATGAACAGTGAATGTACTCATAAAGACATTCCTCCTAGTTCCATGATTCTCTAACTTCAATTTTCTGCAAGACTACTTTTTTATCATTTTTATCATTATTACTAATCTGTCACGAGTTCTCCCTGCCGCCATCCAGCCTTCTGGTGAAAGGGAGAGCTGTCATTATGTTTTTTTATCTCTCCCCTGCATTTCTCTCCTGTCCTCTGAAGAAACTGTGGCTCACAGGTAGAAAGTTCCTTCAGTTCTCCTGAGCTCAGCGTGAAGCCGCAGAAGAAACATCTTCTGTGTTCTTAAATCTCTACTTGAAATTGTTAATATTGTGGGTACCCTTCCACTCATGGGACAGGGAATCGCTCCACTCAAACACTGAGGAAAGGGCTGTGCAAGCTGGTCCCATTGTGTCCAGGAGGAATGGGAAGCCTCCTGAGTACAGGGAGACAGCAGGGTTACCTGGAGACAAAGAATCCTGAACTTGCCATGGGGGACCTTTCCGCTGCTGATATTTTCCTTCACACATGTGAGTCAGCCCAGAGGACTGAGGAACAGGCCATTGGCTGTAACTGTGTCGGGTTAGAGTGTCAGCAGTCAACATGTTTATGTAGTCAGATCAATCAGTCCCTTATTAACGGCCTCTCCTCTACTAGGGGAGGGCCTACTCCTTTTCCCCCATTCCTAGGAATCCTCTCAAGGGTCAGTTTCATCGAATCCAAGATGTATGGAAAGAGCTAGTTTTACTGCTTCTTTTAGACTTAGAAAAGTGATGTACTCAACAGAGGCTGTACTAGGTTTTCATATCGACTCCTAAATGTCCCCCAGTTCCAGTAGTCTCTCCCCATATTCTCTCTCTCCATCCTTCACACAGCCTGCTCTTTCCTGTTCCTGTCCATCCCACCCCATTGTATCCAGCAAATCTATTTGATTTCCTCCTTCCAGGGAGACCCTTGTGATACCCACTTATAGTGAGTTCATACCATGTTTGTTTGTCTTTTTGGTCTCTGTTGCTTCACTCAGGATGATTGTTTTTCTAGTTCCATACATTGGTCTGCATGTTTTATTTTGCCCTTTTAATAACTGAGTAATACTCCATTGTATCAATGCACCATATTTTCTTTATCCATCCTTGATTGAGGGACTTCTAGGTTGTTTCCAGTTTCTGTCTATTAGAAATAAAGTTGCTATGAACATAGTTGAATAGGTGTCCTTTTGGTAGGTTAGAGCATCCTTTGGGTATAAGCCAGAAAGCACTATAGCAGCATTTTGGGGTAGATCTATTCCCAATTTTCTGAGGAACTGCTGCTTTAATTTCCATAGCACCCATACAAGCTTGTAAATTATTTCCCAAGGAGGAACCAGAGGGATGTAGTTACAGTGTTGCTAAGCTCGTGCCATGCTGAAGTTTATGAGTTTTTCAGCGACTTGAAATTCTTAGGTCTGCTCTTACTATCCTGAATGAATTTTTTTTTTTTTTTTTTGTTAGCTAGCCCAGACTGGTCAACAATTCATGGCTGTTTTCCTCCCAGCTTCTGAGTGCTGAGGATATATGTCATGTAGTCCTGTGAATAGTTAAACGTTAGTGTCAGATCTTACAAGCTAGGTTCACTCCTTCTTGTAGAATTAGCGAGAGTGGTTCACCAATGAGGATTATATAACCAAGGCTGCAGACGAGGGCATTTGTTCACCTACATTGTGAAGGCAGGCGGATCTCTGTGAGTTCGTAACCAGCCTGGTCTACAAGAGCTAGTTCCAGGATAGGCTCCAAATCTACAGAGAAACCCTGTCTCAAAAAACTAAAAAAAAAGAAAAGAAATCTTGAGTTTGTTCTTGTATATTTGAAAAAACAATCACACAAGACAGTGTATTTACTGGCTTTAGGTGCCAGCAATTATTTTCTAAAGTTTATTTATATGTACTTGTGAGATCTTAGGATGACTCATCAGCTCCAATCAACTCTGCTGTACAAGCACACTAAGTTTGATCCTGGAAACACATGACAGAAAGAAAGAAGTCTTGAACGTTTTCCATTGGCCAGGACCCGTGAGGCACAGCACGTTCTGCACTCACACATCAAAGATAACACACATCACACACCCCTCTCTCTCTCTCCCACATACAAATATACATACACAAGTGCACACACATCACACACACAAACATACAAACAAACATACCCATACAGACACATCCACACAAACTCATACATCCACAAAGAAAATTCTCAAAAATAATATTAGTCTTTAGAAAACACTTATTTGTTGGTGAATATATTAACACGACTGAAAATTTTGTTCACTTTGTTAAACTTTATTTATATGACATAATACTATGTTCTGAAGTGTTCTGATATCATACAACTAGTCTGGGTAGCCATAATAGAAATATTTGCAAAGTATGATATGTGGAATTCTTGACTACTATGAAGAGAGGATGAATAAAATATTTTTGCATTTAATCCTAGTGATTTAAAATAATCATTTTGATTCTTCTTCAATAACTTAAAAAGCCTGTGCCTGCTGGACATACTCATTTTAAAGAGCCTTGATTATTGATGTAATAATAAAGACTTGGCTTTGATTTGGTTTGGTGTTTTGATACATTGTTTCTATATAGTTCTGGCTGTCCTAGATCTTGCTGTGTAGACCAGGCTGGCCTTGAACTCACAGACAGGTCCTTCTTTCTCTGCTTCTTTGATACTATCTCAATATGAATCTTTGGTTGATTAGGGCAGACTGACTTCAGGCTCAGAGATTTGCTTGCCTCTGGCTCCAGGGCCCTAGGACTAAGCATGTGCCACAACACCTGGCTAAGATCTTGTTTATATGACTCAGCTTTCCTTCTACAAAGCTTATTTACTTGTATAATTGTAAACTTTTTGCATATTTAGAGTCTCCATTATTCTAGATAATTTTCCCGTTGGGGGTGTGACTCCAGCAGGGCTCATGCTAGGGAGGTGCTCCACCCACCGAGCTGCTTCCTTCCTTAAAAAGACATGTTTAGCCGGGCAGTGGTGGCACATGCCTTTAATCCCAGCAGAGGCAGGCCTGGTCTACAAGAGCTAGTTCCAGGACAGGCTCCAAAACCACAGAGAAACCCTGTCTCGAAAAAAACAAAACAAAACAAAACAAAAAAGTATTTGATGTTTGAAAATATTTTTTCTTTGGTATGATTTCAGTAAATAAATCAAGTGCTTTGCTCAATAAATTTTTGCATTGGTTTTTCTTCCATCTGAGGGTTTTCTCACAGTAAGATAATTCTGCCGTTAGAGGGCTTCATTTCTTAGTTTCTAAGGCTTTTTTGTTTTGTATATCCTATCTTTGAAAAAAGACTCAAGCTTTCCTTGTGGATACTATTTACACTGAGTCTAAGGAAGTGTCTTTTTGTCACAAAGCTTAATGTATTACCTAAATTCCATTTACCCGGTGTTAAATTTTAAATCTTTGAGCTAATTTCTTGGATAGCTCTCCTGGAATTTTCCTGTTTATTATCTGACATGCTAATGGTTGAAAATTTAAGCACAGTAAGAAGCAATCTAGAACAAAATGTAGTACACCAACAGTTATTATGTTTCCGGGTAAAATATGGAGTGTTGTCCTTTGGAGTAATGTTGAGGGTATTAGGACTTTGGATGGCAAAAGCCCTAGAGAGCTGCACACAGAGCCTCATCAACTATCTCTGTAG